GTCAGTTCTCGATCTCGTATTTTTAAGCGAAGGGGTTGCATCTCGACCGTACGAAGTTGAACTTTTCCCGGGTTTTTCAGATCACCTGATAGTTAGCGTGATCATGACCTTGACGCCGTTTAGAAAAACGCTCAGACCCGTTTCGTCCTACAGAGACTTCGGCATGGCTGATGACACGGCTATTTTAGACGAACTAGATTACCACTATGGACCGTTTGAGGAACTTAGTCGTGAGGAGTCAGTAAGTGTTAATGACCTCTGGTTGAAATTTAAAACACTCGTTCATAAATGTATAGACATGTACGTACCATTGAAAATAAAACGTAAACGAATGCATAATCCTTGGGTGACGAGAGAAGCCATTCACTTAAAAAGAAAAATAGGGCGGCGCAGATTGCGGTGTCGTCGTACACCTAGTTTGGCGTTATCGGATGATATCTCGGCTTTAAGCATGGCGCTGAAATCTGTGCTAAAAGAATCTAAATGCAAGTTTTATAACGTGACAATGCAAAAGTTTATCCGTGAGTCACCGCAAAAGTTTTGGAGGCATTTGGCACCAGCTAGGAAGTCAGTTTCCGAGATCAAAACGGAGCAAGGAATTATAAATGACAAGCGAGAGATTGCAGTTCAATTCAACGAGTTCTTTGCGAGCGTCTTCACAAAAGACGATAAGCAGTCTGTAGAGTTTAGATCACCAGCTCAAATTCCACGGGCTGATGATGACCTGCAACTGTCAGTTGAGGGTATTTTGGCTTTGTTGCTTGACTTAAAAACTTCCAAATCCACGGGGCCGGACGAAATTCCAAATTCTTTTCTAAAGCGATATGCAGAGTGGACGGCAATGTATCTGCACTTAATTTTTAATAAGTCGATTATGATTAGCACTGTACCCTATGACTGGAAACTCAGTAAGATAATTCCAATACTGAAAAGTGGAGATACCATGTCAGTATGCAATTATAGACCTATCGCGCTAACGTCTACATCGTGCAAAGTTCTTAAGCATATTGTTTCTAAACATATCCGGCAATTTCTTTTATCGAATAACGTTCTCAGCCAGTACCAGCACGGTTTCCGCAAGGGGCTGTCAATGGTCACGCAACTAGTAGAAACCATGCATTATTTTTGTGAGGTATCGGATCGTAAGGGACAAACAGACATCATATTTTTAGACTTTAAGAAGGCGTTCGACAAAGTTAATCATAGAAAGCTCTTAATTAAATTGATTTCCATCTTGGGAGATAATAAGATTGTTCGGTGGATTGAGGCCTTTCTAAATGATCGTCGACAGTTTGTAAGTATTGATGGGGTTAGCTCGGACGAATGTGATGTGAACTCGGGCGTTCCACAGGGTTCTGTCCTGGGTCTCCTGCTGTTTTTGGTTTTTGTTAATGACCTTATCCAAGATTCACCTGTAAAAGCCAGATTATTTGCCGACGATTGTATTATTTATACTGAAGTGACGTCCGTTAATGATCAAATTATGCTAAACGAATATTTATCTCAGATCAATGAATGGTGTGTTAAGTGGCAAATGTTGATAAACTTAGACAAGACAGTATGTATGACGATCACTCATAAATGACAGCCGTTAGAGTATATGTATATGCTGCAAGGAAAAGCCTTAAGCCGAGTGTCAGAGTTTAGATACCTTGGTCTTACAATGGCCTCAAACCTAAGTTGGACTCCGCACGTTAGCAATATAATCGGAAAAGCTAACAAAAGATTAGGGTACATCAGGCGCACTCCTAAACTCGCTTCCCCAGAAACAAAACTCACAGCATACAAGATGCTAATAAGGCCTTTATTAGAATACGCATGTGAAGTCTGGGACCCGCATGTTAAATATCTTATATCAAATCTGGAGCAAGTTCAACGGCGTGCGTTACGTTTTGTTTTTTCTAGCTATAGACGGCTGGACTCTGTGTCACCTCTTTATAAAAGGGCAAATCTACCCCTCCTTCAGGTGCGGAGGAAGCGGAAGCGGCTTAACCTTTTTTATAACATAATGAATAACTTGGTTCTAGTAAATAAGCAACAGTATATTAAGGAGAGCATGTCGCGTATAACCCGCAGCAAGCATGCTCGGTATGTGGAAGAGCGGAAGTTTTCTAAGGACTGTTTTAGGTATTCGTTCTTCTTACAAACAGCGCGAGAATGGAACAAGCTACCCGCACATGTTGTTACCGCTGAAACTCGAGAAGAGTTTAGTTCCCTTATTTCAGAGATTTCTGACAGCAGTACCTAGAGTTGTCATTTCATCATTGTGTTAAATTCGTGTTATTAATCTGTGCATTTTGAGCGTGTGTATTTTTTTGTGTTGTAAAAAATCCACTCCTATCTTGGTCCTGTGTGGGACCGATAGTATTTCAAATAAATAAATAAATAAAATAAATAAATACAGGAGAGGGCACTGCAGTCAAATGCGTATATAATCGCGTTAAACTTTGCATGCTTTGGCTCAATGTTTATAGACGAGAGGGCGCTGCGGTCAAATGCTAAAATGCGTATATAACCACGTTCCATACCACACATTCTCTTTCCGACATGGATGAAAACTACCGAAAGGCTCAGCATGCTGCGGCTCAGCGTCTACAGGAAAACCAGGAACCAGCCGGACCAGGTCGCTCCGCGCCCCTCGGCGTCTCTGGTGGTTTTCGCGGACATGTGTTGTCGGCGCGGTGGCAAACAGTGTAATTTGACGAAGGTCCGGAAATTTCTTAAATTTGCCTGAGTGTTTATCAGTGTGGTGAAGCCTCAGGAGATCCTTCCATCACGTATTTGAAAGCCCGTTTACTCCACAACACACGGTCGCGTGCTTTCGATTTCTTGGATGGGAAGGAATCACGGAAAAAACTTTTTGATTTCTTGTCTGTCTCGAATCACATTCAAAGTGACGACTGCTTGGTAACTGATGAGTGGTTTCTTTATAAGGATGTAGAACGGTGGACTGAGGACGACAGACGAGGTGTGTCACTGGAGGGAACACCAATGTTACAGTCATGTGAATGGGAACGTTCGATAGCTGCTTTTCTTGAGTTTGTTTTCGGTTAGCTTCAAGTTTGAGCCACCCACGCCAGTCGGTGCATTGGCTATTCATCTTGCCTGCTTTTCGCCGAAAAAGTCTCTGAACCACACCGAAGAAGTTGGGCTGATTTCGCAATTACTTGTTTCACGAAAACCTGCTCGCTGCAAATGATGAATGAGGAAAATTATCTGTTTTCAAAAGGTGGGGGACGAGTCTCGCAACGTTAGAAGCTGTAACGACATTTTGATCTATCGCGCCTTCAATATTTATATTATACCCCCATCGGAGCCAGCAGCAATATACGTCCACATTGCTCAGGTTGACCGGCCACAAAAAATACAAATTTTCTCCGTTCAGGATTCGAAGCAAAGTTCAATGTCAGAGAGGTTCTGCGAGAATCTCCGATGAAGACTCTCTTCAGTTTGTCTCCATGCTGCCGGCTAGAACCATTTGGCTAAGTTTAAGTAGTATCTCTCTGACTGTCTAATACACTTTTATTCAGCAGTTCACCTAATAGCTAGTCAACTAAGTTCATATTTCAACCCAAAGAATATACTAATATCACTTTAGTGGGACATAGTATGTAATATAATACATGACCCGCTCGTCAAAATGACTTCTCGATTGCTACTAAAACCTGAATTGAAGTACGAGTATCAGCTGCTTAGTGAGGCGCCGGCAGATTAACATGGTCCTTGGCTCAAGAAGCGCTTGCTTACTTTTTGTAATTTTCCTGCAGCCTGTGTCGTTGACCGAGCAGACGACTGGAGCTGTTTCTTAAACACGGATATTCACAAAAGCTTGATTTCGCTGACAGTTAAGTCGCATGGTCGAGGCATGCGAGTTAGCTGAAAATTACTCTCGGTGGAACAATTCTGTAGTCATTGCCGTCTTCCTTAGATGATCAAAACTGATTAGTATATTACAGCCTCTCTGGAGCCCATAGTTTCGGTTTTGAACGAAATCTCTGAAACAAAAGTTTGGCATGAAAAGAACAAAAAAACACCGGAAAAACAAAACTATGTTTTGCAAGTTTATGTGCACCGGCTACACTTAACCGTCTCAATTCAAGTACCTATAAAATTGGGCATTAAACAAAAGAAGATCAGTTAAATTGAACACGCCACCTGTTCAGGCGGCCCGGCCGAGCAGACGCGACCTGGACTCGGCCGCCATGTTTGTTTAGTGGTGGCGCCCCCTATAGGTCGCTGGAGTCGCGAATAGGGGGCTGTAGCTTCCACAGTTCACCAAGTTATCGTGAAACAGAGTATAGGTATATACACTGTTGTCGTAGACACAAGCGGGAGAGAAGAATGCCACTTTTGTACAAATTTGACTGACAAGCTCTGGGGGGACAAAGCGACATCTGGGCCACACAAAAGAGGGTCCAGATGCGAGTTCCTCTTTCCCCCCTTCTCCAACGGTTATGCGAAAGCCAACTACGCTTTAGTTTTTGTACTTTTTTGTAAGGGCTGTAACATGCTTCACCTCTGCCACTCTATTAATTACACATGCCAATGCATTTTTTTTTTTTACCCCATTTGTTATTATGGACTCGTGCTATGGACGATTTTTCTGGGAAACGGAAGTGTACATATCAACGAGCCATGACTGCACCTAACAATATGAAAGTGAAAAGTTACTTTTTGGTATGTCTAAAAATGTTTTTTCTGAATTGCAAAATGAAAGCTAAGATCAGTTTTTTTTGTTTTTTTTTCTATCATGTTTCAGATTAGTAAAATGTTGAATTACTTATGTTGGTTTTTTATGATGTTACTCTAATATTATGTTGCGCATGTTGCCTGTCATATTCAAACATCTATTTTGTTAGTGGAACCCAAACTAGCCTTTGGCTATGGATCCAAACACTTTGTATAGCTTTGTGACATATTATAAAATAAAATGAATGATACTGAGACATTTGAGGCAGCAAAGCTAGCAGCACAAGCCAACGTCGCCCCGCGGCACGCACCTTCTTGACGAGATACTTGACAGGACGCATCCCACCTCCCATTCCCCAGACGTTGTCGAGTCGAACCAGGCCGTGCTTCATGCTCAGGAGCGTGCTGGCATGCTGCAGGGTCTGCCTGTCAGGGACAAGAGAAGATGAGTGGGGGGTCCTGGGCATTCCCACAGGGCAGCTTACTTGGAGAGCGCACAGTTTGTCTCTTCCAGGTTCAACTGCACATACTTGGGAGGCAAGCAGTCGTCTGCCACCGTACGTGCCAGGAAATTGCCCAGGACCTGTCCAAAGGTCTGGCGTCACATTTCTGGGCACTCAAACGCCCTCCGCGGAGGGGAAGAGAAATGCGTCCCTTTGGGCTTCTCTTCTATGTCCTTCAGTCGTTTGTAACAGCATCTTGAATGGCGGCTTCGGCATCGCTCCGAGACAATAAGGCCTATTCTTAAAAACAACCTTAGTAGGAGTACCTCACTCTAAATTTGTCCAAACAAAGCACCATCTCAAACCAGTGCACAGAAGCAATTTTTGTGCTCCGATATCTCTCGTTTGGGAAACAAACGAAATGCTTACCTTAAGTGCCATTGGCTAATACATGGCCACAAAGTCTCAAAAAAGGGTTTTGTGGGTTATCTACGGGTGTAAGTATGCAGAATATTTCCTTTATTGTGGGTTCAAAGGATTTTATCCAGTTTAATATCTAGTTGCAGCTGCTTATAACACACCTTCAACACAAAATCAAGTAACCAGAGCAAATAAAATCGATGTTTGTTGGACGACCAAAACAATTTTTATAGACTTAATACAAAAACGCAGACAAACTAGACAGGGCCAAGTTTAGAAGGTCAGTATGTTCATGTAATTACACTTTACTCAACACAGGAACAGACGACACGTGTTTCAACTTTCAACACAGAGAATTTGCCTGAAATGGGCAGGTTTCTTCTGGAAGGAAGGGTGAGGGAAAGTAGAAAAAAGGTGACAGGAAGACTACAGTCTAAGCTCATTACAACAGACCTGGTTACAACAGACATTTGGATATAACATACCGATTTGTGAAGTTCAGTTTGTTTTCCTCTTTGTACCATTGACTCAACTTCATATCTGCATACAACATACTCCTTTTACAACAGACCAAAATCTTGGCCAAAATCAAGTTCTGTTACAATGAGCTTAAACTGTAATGGTGAATTCCGCTTGCAGATCTCGAGCACTCCATTTGCAGTGCGCATATTCCGCTGGCAGATCTGGCTCGAGTCGGTCATTTTCCGCTCTTAGATCTCTGGCAACGCTTGCCCCGTGCAGCGCCCCAAATCGTGCCACAACCGCTCCGTGGAATCCCGCAGATCTTGGAGAAAGTTGACGGAAGCGCGTACGTCATTTCCTCTAGCTCAGCAGAGTGCATCACGGTGCGCATGTACGGCGAGGTTGGCGGGTGTCATGATTTGGAAAAAATAAAAGGAAGAAAGAGAAGGGAAGAAAAAGAAGAGCAGTATCGCGGGTGCGAAGGGATTCGAAGCTGGACCAAGAGCCGCGACGGTTGGCTGCTCGAACGGTGCGCTGCCCGGCTCCGTCCCGGCGTCAGTGTGGTGCGCTACCCGGCTCCGTCCCGGCCCCAACGCGCTGAGAATCAACGAGCCTGGCTCTGTCCAGGCTGCAGGGAAGCTGAACTTCAACGTAACCGGCTTCAGCACGGTGACCAGCAGCGCAACCGGCTCCGTCCCGAGATCAAGGCACCCGTACCCGAGATAACCAGCCCTCTCCCGACATCGCGGTACGCTCTACTTCACCAACGATCAAGGGGGCGAACCATCAAGGGCACCTGCGGCCCGGGCTACGACCCCAGGGGTGACTATACCGCCTACCGAACGTGCTTGGACGGTCGAAGGGTTTCGTTTCTTGTGCCTTTCTAACGTTGCCTTTTTTTTATTTTTACTTCCTGACTTGAATATATATATATTTGTTTTTCTTCATGCATTTGACTCAATCTCCTGATCCTTCCTCTCACCACCCCGGACGAACCTGACAGCGGGGTAGCCGGACCGGTCGGGCCGTCAAGTTTGATCTGTTCGGATGCGTTGGTTGTTTACGCGGGATTCGGACGGCTTGAATGCTTCCACCTCGCGTAAATCAGGGATACAAAGTTGAGACTGCAGCGTGATAAATTGCAAGCGCTGACATCTGCAATCGCGAGAGGAAGAACGAGAAAAAGAATGACAGAAAAGCCGGAGGCAGACGCAAAGTTAGGTCTGTTCATTCTGCAGCCAATTATTGTTTACCTTTTTACACTGTATGCCGTCGGCGTTATCTCGGGCAATAAAGCAACAATGGATAAGGCAACGACCATGCAAGTGATGGTTTGCTACCTCTTTGTGTTTATGAAAGTCTTACCAGAAATCTGAACTCCAGTGGCGATCGCTGCACGTGCCCCGCTGCTTCGAGGCAGCCGAAAGGCATGCGGCGATGACGAACGCGGACGTCTTCCTCGTTATTTGTGACACGGGCTCGAGGGTATGGACATTTCCGCCTGGCCTGTGTCGCGTGTTATTTCTGCAGCTAAGCCGTGACAGTTGCCACTGGTTGTCGCAAAGATCAGTCAGCTGAGGCACTGGTCACTTCGCCAAGTTCGAGCAGCAGCCATTTTGAATAGCCAAGAGTCTCGGGCGAATCGGTGGGTCGCTCCAAAAATGCGAGTTCGTCTTCGGCTCGTCAATTCGGAGCAGGTCAAACGTAGCGAAATTTTGCCTCCGTCGAGGATTTTGGAAGGCGCTCCGGATCTACCAGTGGGATTCATCACAAGCAGGATGGGGAGTACCAGTCATCAAAGAAGCAATTCCCTTTTCGGTCCCTCCAGTTTACTCTTGCCACCCTTTTTATTTTTCTTCTTTCCCTCTCCTCACCCCTCCTTCCCAAAGAAACTTCCCCACTTCAAGTAAATTCTCGAAGTGTTGAAAGTCGAAAGATGTGTCGTCCGTCCCCATGCTCTCCGAGTAATGTGTAACTGCAAAGGGCTCCATGTAATACACTTGTTTCCATAGCACAAAAATACAGAGGCACACGTCACACGAGAAACCTTGTACAAAATCCCTCCTTTCAGACTGCACGTGCAAGGCACCGTTGTTACCTATGTGCAGAAATTTTCCACCTTGGGGAAGGAAAGCCCCCCATATCTTTCCAAAGATACGCACCGTGGTGGCGTCGGGGGTGTCCAGTACCAGGTCAGGGAGGCTCTTGAAGAGCAGGTGGAAGCCCTTCTCAAAGTCGGGCTCTGCCAGGATGCGCCCATACATGTCCGAGAGCAGCACAGAGGTCATCTCCCGGTGGGACGGCTTGCGCTCCATGGCCAGCGAGACGGCCAGGCAAACCAGGTGTGGCCGGATCTGGCTCAGGTTGTGCTCCTCCAGGGAGAGCTGACAAAGAGGAAGAACTCCCTTAACCCATTCTTAATCCCAGCCTACACTTCGCCAGCAGCCCTAGCACTGGTCATTTTCTAGCAGTTTTATTACTCAATTGTAATTGTTACGTCACTTAGGTGGGTATACTTGGGGTCAACTTTCTGTGGCAATGCGACCAAGGCTACAGAGCAGAAGCACGCCATTTCACTGTGCAGCTGAATATAGCTCAACCAAAATAATTTCTGGGCATAACTTAGCCCATAAAAAAGTATAAAAAAATTTTTCTTTTTTGCCAATGTTTTTTAAATGTTATTTAATATTAGTCAGGATATTCCAAACTTGTTGCATTTCTTTCTTAGCTCCTTCAAGTTTTCTTGGCTTAAGTTCGCCGCACATTTTCTAGCTTTCTGCAGAACATGTGGTCTTTCTTGTGTGCATCGTCAGATCTTCCGTGAGCTCGAACCATAGGATTTACACAAAGTTTGGCAACCATAATATGTAAAAACAAACCAAGCAAGTGGTGTGCAACAGGCAGGGGTGGGCATTGAGCTCGATCCTTGGGTCAAGCAGCTGACCCTCCTAGTTACAGCTAACACCCCTAAGGCCAGCGGGAACTGAACGCAGTCCAAATGGGATTTGACCCCGCGCCGCAGCATGTGCATGCTTCCACTTCGGCATATCGTGCCTGCAAAATATGTATATCGTGCCTGACGTCCGTCCATGGCTAGCTGTTGGCTTCAACATAAGAATGAGGGCCGCTCTACTACACAGCAGGTGCTCTTCCAAACAGATGCCTGCAAAAAGTGCTCTTCCCGGTTGGGGACAGCCCTTTGTGTCTCACGGTGTGTTTTATAAGAGTACTTGCTACGAGGTGCTAGCACTATACATGCCTTGCACCTACGTCACATCATGACGTCGAACACAGGTATCTACCATGCTGGTGGTTGACTCGACGGCCCTTCGCAGCGAGAGCAATGGTAAACTGCGCCGCGCTCGGCTTTAGCAATTACCTCGTATCCCGACGATCGTCCGATCGTTTCGTCGGCATGCCCCACGAGACAGAGTAGACGTCAAGTTAGAGAAACTACGAGCGGCAAGAAAAAGATGCGGCCGCGGATTATCGAGTTTGCGGGACGCGTTTCATAGCGGCGAACGGCGACACTTCTCTACCGTTGTTTACGTTCGCGCACGCCTTTGCATCGGCTTTTGCTCGTTCGTGGTGTATATAGCCTTTGACCTTCGTTGCATAACGCCGTTTTCACGCTTCGAGTGCACCTTCAGGGCTCCCGACCGAATCCGGGCGAGAATTGCGCCGCAAGCCCGGCCCGACGGCGATCGGCGGCGCCCATGTGCAAGCTCGCCGAGCCGCCGGGTCATCGGTTTGTGCCGTCCGCGATACGATAACCTTTGCGAGGAGCGAAATTATGCAGGCAAGCCGGTTAGGAAACATAACAATATAAACCCCGAGACAATGAGAGTTTCTTGTCCGTTATTTGATTTATCCCTGTCTCAGGGTTAAGATTATGACGGTAACATGGCGTTGTTTACCAGTATTTCGCAAAATCGTAACAATTTTTCTACAAGCGACTCCTAGAGCCGCTCGTCAAATTATGAAGCGCGCAATTAAGCTTTTTTCTTTTTTTGGCGACACGGCATGTCCCTTTGCGTCAAAACTTCGCCGGCGGCACTTCGAAACTTTCTGCTCGAAGCGCAATCGCACCAATGCCGATAAATTCCGCACGTACTGGATAAACGTCATCATCGTAAGCTCAACACGTTTATCTAAGTCCACGGTACCTTTGTTGAAAATATGGTGCATGTTAAGGCATGTCCGGGCCGTTAGCAGCATTTTACGCCTTGGTAACCGCATCCGCGCGGTGTGAAGTAAACCACCAGTATGGTGCGGGGCCCCGTCCTTCCCTAGATGTTCCCTAGGGTAACGTCACTTGCAAGGCATGTATAGACTAGCCACCATTTGCCTGCTAGCAAAGCCCGCCAAAGTAAGTCCTGTAGAGCAGCCTGCCTGCCTTTCCATGTGGCCGGTCCAATGCCAGCACCCATCACTCACCACCACCTCGTTGGTGTCGCCATGCTCAAAGTACTCTAGCAAAAGCGGGTAGACGGTCTTCTCAAACTCGTCCTCCGTGAGCTCCGGGACTATAGACTCGAACTCGCAGTTCTCCTGCAAGAGAGACGAGTTTCGGTTCCAAGGGGCCAACCGGGTATGCCGAAAGCTGCAACGCACCTGATTGTCCGAGTCGTAGTTAGGGTCACGGGCATCTGCTGCCGAGATGTCGTCGTCCTCGAGCGAAAGCTCACTCCCGGGTTTGCCCCAGGTCCCCTTTCCTCCTGCCCCACCTGCGGTGCCCGAAAAAGTCGTGCTCAGCTCCGCTCAGAACACTGTCCATATGCGCTGGCACGTTACGCGCGCCACCGACCGCAACACTCGCTTTGCGAGTGCAGTACGAGTTTCTGGAGAGTGCCTCGAACTCCAACACATAGCATTGCGCACATGCTCGAATCCAATTGAGATCACTAGCATTCTTCACAAAACCGAAACCAGTACCGCAGCGTTCGCGTGCACGATTGGAGACCAAGCATAAAACTGTTTCTGCAGAAGGATATTCGTGCCCGGTGCCCGCTTGTAAAAGACCAGTCAAGTCCTTGGGGCTCAGAACCAGGGAGAGCTCTCAGGTAGCGGTGACAACAGTTAGCGGCGCGCACAGCTAAACAAAAAAAGGATCTCGGCAAAGCCGCCATATTTCTATTTACTTGGGAAGGGAACATAGTTGCAACGATCCGAGCGTCGTTTCGGCGGTAGCCAGCTGCGCGCTACACGCACGTGCAGTGCAATCTCGCTGACAGTTTTTCCGAAAGCGGATGCTTACCTTTTTTCGGCTGCCCCCGCCCGTGGCCATTCCTCGGCCTCCGGCTGTTCTTGCGGTACTGGGGATGCGTTCTCGGCGTTGGAGGCAGCACGGGACTCACGTCTCCGGACGCTATCAGCTTGGACGGCCTCTTGGCCTTCTTTTTGATTCGTCCGTCGACAAAAGGCCGCTTTGAGTCGCTGTCCATCTCGGCCGAAACGACCGACTCGCCGTCTTCCACCAAGAGCGGAGCCTCATGCCCGGGGCCCAATTGGTTGTTGAAAACCTCGTTTCCGCTCGACATGGCACCGCTCTTGTTTGACGACCAAGCTCAACGCTACCTTTTTCTGGTCTATCCCACCCAAATCGACTGATCTTTGGGAAAAGCGACGGAAACTCGCGAAACAAAACCGCTGCTCAATTGCAAAGCTCAAGACACGAGTTCCCCGTACAGTACTACGAGTGGAACTATCGTAGTACACTGCGCCGCTACGCCTTCTTAAAACCTGATGCGGCGCCAGTCAGCAGCCTGAGCAGCCGGCGAGACCAGCGAGGCGCTGGCGGTAGCCGAAAGATCGATACGCCAGCAATGACAAGTATCGCCATTTATTGCCCCTGCAAGCTTCGTCCTCCAAGAGTGCGTACAATACTTCACACTGCATTCAAGCGGGCCCGTCAAAATATGGGTCACATTAAGCGGTCCGTTTTGAATAAATCGCGTTGCGTGCATCTGGTTTTGGGGGCGTTCGGCGCAGAGCACAGATCCCCACGTGGCAGAGCAGGGATGAACTTGTTTACAAACATATTGTACGATTAGCCAGTGTCTCGAACGGGGGCTCGTTGCCCGCAGTTTTAACTTTTCAGCCGAAAAGCTTTGAACCAATCGAACCATGCACTGATAGCGCACTGTTCCTTTACGTGGAACTACTCTCGCGGCTGCAGCAATTGGGCGGCGGAGAAAAGCTCACTGGGGTAAAGCTCACCGTAGAAAAACTCCCCGGAGAAAAGCTCACCGCAAAACCGGCAGATGCGGAGAAAAGCTCACCGATTTTTTTTTAAGTCTTTCTTAGCGGATTTTGCGTCACACGTGGCAAGTTAACACAATTCGAATTCGTCACTTCATTAAAAATATGTACTACTTTTGTAATATCCTTCAAGTTCATATTTACTAATTCCTCCGAAATTAGCAATCACCCATTCTGTATATTAGTGTAGCCGCAAGTATAAAATCACAACATTGGACACCGGTAAAAAAGACAACAATTCATTGACAGCTGACAGTGCGCTGTCGGTAGCTCTGTCAGATAAAAAGGTTTGTTCTTTACGAGCTAATATGAATAGCTGTGTGGGAACCGCTTCAGCTCTAAAGATTGTGTAGTGACTGATGGATAAGTATGTGTTTGTCGATGTAATCAGTGTCGGCTACGCTGTTTTCTTTCTGTTCAATTCACGAATAAAACTTTCGTTGCGAGACCAGCTTCGTCCTGTCGTGTTTGTTGTCTTCACTCCGTCGTCATCGTTTGAGCGGTTTTCATCATGTATAACGTTCACCAGCTCGTCCAATTCGCTAACTTACAGAAGACTAGTTCTTATACAGGTCACGAGTAACAACGGTGACGGGTGGATCGCCGTAGAAAGGCGCTATCACGCAAAGGCAACGTGTGGAAACACCAGCACAAACGGCTAGAAAACGTGCTTCTCCGTGGAAGAAAGAAACCTCGATATCCTATGCTGACCGTTTTATACTGTTTTAAGGCACCGCGTTGTTTCGCATGCACTTTTGGATTTTCGACATATATGGTTTTCATTTTTAGGTTTTGGGCAGACATAATTAAGTTTTCGAACTTTTTCCTGTTTTTCAAGCTCATAAAATTTTCAGTTAGCCTTTTGTTGCCTAGAGAGTAAACCACAGAAAACACTCGCCCGCAAACATAAGTTTGGGAGAAATATACCCAATGAGCTTAACAAATAATGCAAAAAAGGACATTCTCTTTTTTACAAAGTTGACGAAATTTAATGATAATAAATTGATATGCTAGGCATGATCTAACAGCTAGCCTCCATGTAAAAAGAAGAAAAACATTCCCCGCCAAATTTAGCGGGAAATTTAGCGCAAATTTCCCGCTAAATGGGATGGGAGCAGACGAAGACGAGGGGAGGGGGAGGAGAGGCATACCCTCCCTTCCCTCCCCTCTTCCTCATCAAGAGCTGCGCTCTAATTAAGCATTACCGAAAATTGTAAACGTCATATATATATATATATATATATATATATATATATATATATATATATATATAAAACTGAGAAGAAAAAAACCCTTAGTGAAAAACAGCAACAACGGACGATTTAATCTTCGACGTTTCGGCCGGAGTCCGGCCTTCGTCAGGAGATTAAATCGTCCGTTGTTGCTGTTTTTCACTAAGGGTTTTTTTCTTCTCAGTTTTATACCCACGCCTTCGGCCTCCCGCCACCATGCCCGTTATATATATATATATATATATATATATATATTTTTTTTTATATTTATTATTTTTTTAGAGCGCAGCTCTTAGGCGCTTGTTTCCGGTTTGAGCGGCGTCGCCGTCGGCGTAACCGTGCGTTGCATTATGGGAAGTTTCCCATGATGACGTCACACGTTACATCACGTGTGACATCACAAAGGTCACGTGCAATGCTCGTGACCTTCAGATTGAGGCATATAAGTGTTGTATAAGTTTATTTTTAGAGCGCAGCTCTTAGGTAACCCCTCCCCCAGGTCACGTGACCACCCGCCGAGGTCACGTGACCTCCCCGATGACGTCATCGTCACTGATGACGTCACCGGCATCCGCATCGTCATCATCATCATCACGGATGACGTCATCAGTGACGTCACTGATGACGTCACCGACATCCGCATCGTCATCATCGCTGATGACGTCATCGGAGTCCGCATCGTCATCGTCACTGATGACATCATTGGCATCGTCACGTGACCCCCCCAGGTCACTTCACCCCCCCCCCCCCCCAGTACCCTTCCCTCCTCCTCCTCAAGAGCTGCGCTCTAATTCGGTGTTACAGGGAGTTGCAAACGGCTTTCACTTTTTTTTGCTCCAAAATCGGAGATGGTTTCTCAGAGTTTGCTTCTTTCCGCAAATAAAGTGTCTTTATTTGCGGAAAGGTCCAAGGTCACGTGACCTGGGGGCGACCTTGGTTACGCCGACGGCGACGCCGCTCAAGCCGGAAACGGGCGCCTAAGAGCTGCGCTCTAAAAAAATCGGTGAGCTTTTCTGCGCATACTCTCAATGGCCGGTGAGCTTTTCTCTGCATCCGCCAGTTTTGCGGTGAGCTTATATCCGCTGAGCTTTTCTCCGGTGAGCTTTTCTCCGGGATTCGCAGCAATTCAAGCATGCCGTACCTCCGATTGTTCAGGATGATTAGTCAGGCTCTCTTGGAGACCATGAATGAAACGTTTGTTTGTTGGTTCAACCCAGGAGGGTAAGGCAACGTGAGCGGGCATTACGCCGATACCAAGGGGTCCACAGTTCCTCTATCGCAGAAAAAGAAAAGAAAAATAACTAGAACCGAACTCGACTTTGTCGCCTGCGTCGCCGCACGCGGTTGATGCTGGCAAGTTTCTAGGCCCTATTTTTTTACAAAAAGGGAGCTACGCTGTATAATTTTACAAGAAAAAACCGACCTGTGAAATACAACTTTGACGAAAAGTTCAGATTGCTACGTGCAGGCGTCGATTTTTATGGTCCATTTGAGATCGAGTCTGGCGACTTGGTTTCACTTTAAAGGGATACTTCAACGAAATTTGAAATATTCCCGTCGTGTTCAAAAATAGGTTAAATATGATCCACAATATCCTTAAATGACAATCACACGTTTTTATTTTGAGCCTGGTGGGCTGTATTTTTCGTTATAAACGGCCCACTCTGGCAAGCTCTCGGAGAAGGCCTAGCGGAGACCACCTGGCATCCAATGCAATCGTGACGTAGGTGTTCTCAAGACAAGCAAAGCTACGGCGAGGCTGACATCATGAGGACGGCCTAGTCGTTCCAGCCACCGAAGCGGCTGCTTTTGTACGGATTTTGAGTGACGGGTTAATCTTCTGTAATCTTGTAGGGCCGGGGAAAATAGCGACTTCTGCGACACACAAAAGGGGAGTTCCTCCTGCCCCTCTTCTCTCGTCGTGGCCGGAGGCGAGACAACCTCCGTCATATGGGCATTACAAGCGAGGCGTTAGCAACATCCACCAGGTGCTCTTTGCTAATCGTTTAATTCGTTTTAAAATTCCTTTTCGAGACTTTTTTAACAAGATATTGGTATGTTCGATGTGATGCTGCTCCTTTGAACACATATAAACCAAAAAATGAGCGCCGAAATTTCGTTGTAGTATCTCTTTAAAGAGGCCCTGCAATCATATTTAAACGTCTACCTTTTTTGCGGTTTCCACGTCTCTTAGGGTTCGGACAAGCCAGCGGGCACGGAGAGAGTAAATAAATATCAGTGCATCATATTTTAACCGGACGACGTGGAAACCTCCTCCACCGACGAGGGTGACCCGCGGTATCGGAAGCGCGCAAAATGTGACGTATTTGGTCCTGGGCTTTCTACTGGTCAGAGCCACTAAAAGCTTCTTTTTTGTCGAAATACAAAACATAAGTGGCGCGAACCGTCTCAATTATTTATAAAAGTGGTTTTTGTTCAGTATTTTACATCTGAAAAGAAACAAATGCAGTTTATAAAGTATGGAAACGAGAAATGTCGACATGCCCACCACCAAGTGGTGGAAAGGCGGCGCATACTAGAAAGGTGTAGTGGGATCAGGCATTAACGAGCGGCGAGCGTAGAAAGGTCCCGGATGTACGTAGCAGCGGTGCGGTTGTATGGACTGGAGGATCCAACCGATTTTGAGAGTTCCCGAGGCCTTTGGCAAGCAGTTTTGGCTTGCGGTGTGGCCTTTTGGCGGTATGGCAGCGTAAAGTGGCTCCCTTTCTGAACTGATCTTTACCCCGGCCGTGTTTGCTGTCGTTTGTGGCCAATGAAGTGTCATGCCGAATTAGTGTTGAATCGCGCAGCAAATGCAATGTGAGCCGCCCTGCCTGCCCACTTCTAGCCAGAACATGCTTTAGTAGCGCCCTCTCGAGCCGTCAACACGGAGTGCGGCAGCCGTAACCACTTGCCGAGCTCACTACCCCTCCTCTAGTTCACGGCCACTTGAGTGGCCGTGAACTAGAGGAGGGGTACTAGTTCACGGCCACTTGAGTGGCCGTGAACTAGAGGAGGGGTAGTGGGCTCATCGCAAGCGCTCACGGCTGCCGCACTCCGTGTCGATGGCGTGAGAGGGCGCCACTAAAGCATGTTCTGGGTAGGTTATATGCAGCGGGCAGCCAGAGCGGCTCTCATTGCATTTTCTGCGTGATTAAACACTAATTCGGCATGACACTTCATTGGCCACAAACGGCAGCAAACACGGGGTGAAGATCAGTTCAGAATGGGAGCCACTTCGCGCTGCCATACCGTG